AATAATCGGTGACTAGTCGACTATCAAAATAATCGTTTGTGGCAGCCCTACTCACCACGCAGATGTCTTTAGGAAAGGAGGTACAACTGTTGCATTGCTAATATCAGTGATGTAAAGCCACTACTAAACCAGAGATGGCATCAGAAGGAAAAGGAACTGGAGTGGTCCAAAGTCCTCTTTTTAGATGAAAGTACATTTTGCATTTCATTTGTAAATCAAGGTCAAAGAGTCTACTTGAAGAGTAAGGAGGCACAGAGTCCAAGGTGTTTGAAGTCCAGTGTGAAGTTTCCACAGTCTGTGATGATTTGGGTGCCATGTCATCTGCTGGTTTTGGTGGAGGTTGGTCAGGTGTATTTAATCAAAGTCCAAAGTCAATGCGGGCGTAAAACAGGAGATTTTGAAGTACGTCATACTTTGCCAAAAGCTTTGCTGACCATGTTATTACTGTGCTTCACTGACCAGCCAACTCGCCTGACCTGAACCACACAGAGAATCTATGGGGTATTTTCAAGAGGAAGATGAGGAAAATCCCAAACTCCAGATGAGCTGAAGGCAGCAAGCAATCTGGACTTTAGTAACACCTCAGCTTTGCCACAAGCGCCACTCCAATGCAGTAAAAGGAGCCCCAACATTTTTTATCTAATCGTGGAATAATAATCTGAGATACTGGATTTCTGAGCATTAAGAGCTGCAAGCCATCATCTTCAAAATTTAATTAAAAAAAGGCTTGAAATATTTCACTTTGTATGTAATTAATATGCAATGTAATACACTATATGAAAGGGAAATTGCTGAAAAATCAGGAACTCACAAAGTGCAAATAACTGACAGGGAGTTAGAAAAGAAAAGTTAAATTTAATTCTGAAAACAAAAATGCTGTATTTTTTTCCCTCTCCTGTAAGAAAATAACCAGAATTTCTTTTAAATTCATGTCAGAATTTATACACAGCACAGCCGAGTCTGAATATGGTCATGCAAGTAAAGCCATTATCACTGAACTGAACCCACAAAATGCACAATGAAAGCAATCCTTACTGCTAAACATCACAGGATCATAATGTGATTGAAGGCCTCTTATTAAAAACTATCAAAGAAGCTTTTCTGTAAACAGACATGGTTCCAGTGATTTTTAGACCTGACTGCTGCTCAGCCTCATTTAAATGTAAGCATTTAGACAAACACAAATCCACAGTCAGTCTTCCATTCATTGTAAACAGAGCAGCTGTAGGCTGTGCCTTGCTATGACTTCATGGATTAGAGTCATGCTTCTCTTGTTTTAGCTGTGGGAGGGAGATAGCGATGCTTACGTATTAGCAGTAAAGCCAAACGCCATTGGATGAGCATGCAAGAACCTTCAAATTGAATGTGTGCCATTTTAAGAGGTGTCATTGCACAGAATTATCAACCTTTTGACCAAAAGCAGAGTGCATCTAAATGTGATGCGCCACTCCTAAAATTTCTAATTAATGAGATTTAGTTCAGACTAGTCTGCCTCATTCCTCGCATTTAATTGGAAGCCACTTACGGGTAGCTTCAAGATCAACGTCGCTTCTAATAAAAATTTCTAATTATGTTTTTGGAGGTGTGGGAAGCCTATAGGGCATAACATTACCAGAAGGGAAGTGGCGCAGATAGAAAATGTGGGAGACTGAGAGCTGATGAGTGGAAAAAGGCAGGCAGAGCCACTCAAGCTACATGTCACTTACAAAGCTGCACTGAGGGATGTTTTTTTTCTTGGGGGAGGGCGGGGACCAAGGCCACAGAAGAAGGTGTAAAGAAAGTAGTGAAGAGTGGACTGGATAGAAGTGACAAGGGTTATTAAGAAAAGGTAAAGTCAGGATGAGGGTTGAAAGGTGAGAAATCCCTCTTTTTCTTGTTTTTCTTATTTTTTCCCCTCTTCTTATCCTCTGTCCTGTCCTCTTTTCTGTCTTCTTAGCTGTCTGCCCTGCGTACCACCTACTGATTCTGTAATTGAAAGGCTTTAAGAAGCTTGTCTCTCGCGCACTCTGAGGCTGCGGCTTTGGTTATAATAATGGAATTCAAATCATTAGCTTATAGTTTGAAGGAATCTAATTTGACATTCTACCTGTTTTCCTCCATGTAAGTGTGTGACTGTTTGCGTGTGTGTGTGTGTGTGTGTGTGTGTGCGCGCACACAGATGCAAGCATACAAGCTATTTCTAATTAATGTAGCAATGTGTGTGTTGGGGTTTGGGGACAAGCATTAAAGTTGGCATGTGCAGCCACGTCAATTATGTGAAGTAGATTTTCACTTGGTTGCCCTTCCACATACAAATTTTAATTGCATTTAGGTGCCAGAAGGTGACACAGGGATTTGGTGTGATAAGAATGAAAACTATTTTCAGAGCTGTGTGTGTGTGTGTGTGTGTGTGTGTGTGTGTGTGTGTGTGTGTGTGTGTTAATGTTTCTGAATCTTTAGGTAAGTGTGCACACGTATTTTTGCATTGTAGTGTGTGTGTTTTTATGTGCAGCGTTAGTCATGCTACTCTTCCAGGCGCTCCTCAGTGTGCTTAAGGTTAAGACTTTGCCCCAAGGCTTTTGTGTATACACTGGAATACTGAGGGAGAGAATAAAACACAAAGGGAGAACTGGAAAGATGATGACAAATGCAGTGGGATTTATTTAGAGTGGTCTAGTTTTGTGGGAATCACTATGGTTCAGATCGCGATGACCTCTATCCGCTCATTGTCTGTAGCATCTGCCAACATTAGGAGTCCTCAACAACCCCGTGCTTTCAAAAAGCATCCTGTTTTCTTTTCTCTTGTTACGTCCACCCTTCTACCACCTTCCCCACTCATCGCCTTCCCACCTCTCCAGCCTTCCAGCGCTCCAATCTGCCCAAGTCTGCAAAACGTGATGAGGCAGGCGGAAAATGGGAGTGGAGTGTTGAGGGGGAGAGCGCTGTTGCTAACGGGAGGAATTCTCCTAATTAAAAAAAAAAAAAAAAGCCTTACTAAGTGTTCAAGAGGGGTTCTTGCCGTGTGGCATGTGTACTGGGTAGATGGATGGGTGGACAGATTATGAGGATGTGAGTCAGTGTTAGCTAGGGGGGAAAAAGTGTCAAAGAGCTCTAAGTCTGACTGGCAGTATCTGTAGAGGTCATGAGGACAGAGGACATCATCAACCCTCTCATGAGTGACGCTGTGAACACAATGGCCTTTTCACATTCCATGCTCTTACTAAACAGTTTACAGCGAGTGTGGGCTGTATAACGAAGGAACAGCATTGCTCTGTCAGCGTGTGTGTGTGTGTGTGTGTGTGTGTGTGCGCACGAATTTGGCCGGCATCCTAGAAAGAGTCTTTGATAGACTCATTTAGGCCAACATTAGTAATGAGTCTGGCCCAGCTCTAGCTTGTAGTTGTTGTTTAGAATGCATTTTAAAGCATTTCATTTTAAATTCTGGCTTCAATTCCAACATCTTGTTTAAGACCTGTTCTCCTGATAGAAGAAATACCCTCTGGTGAATCGAAGAAAAAAAAATTTCTGTGGTTTTTCCAAGCATGTGCAGGTATATCACATTCATCACCCCGTGCTTAACCGCGTGTATGTTTGCATGCAGGCACGTCCACGTGCGTGCCTTTTCCCAACGAGATGCAGTTCCTGTACTGTGTGCATTCTTTATATTTATATTTATGGAAATCAAATGCCGAGCGTCTCCACAGGATGAGAGAATAGCCTTTTCCCCCCATAGAATTAGCATTTCTTTCCTTTTTAGCTGTTGATTTTACCAGTGTGAGTTCTGCCGCCTAAGGAGCTAATATCTGTTTAAATTACAGCAATATCGCTGCATTTTAATTTGATGCTGTTTGACTGTGTACACTTTAATTTAAATTCCTAACAGAAAGAAGTTCAGCTCATTGTATGTGTATTGCAAATGCACAAGTTTGGGTCTTTGCATATAACCTTGCACCGCAGCCGTGTGTATATGTCAGCGTGCTTGTGCGCGTGCATACATTAGCACATTAGCACTATTTCAAAACTAGAGAGGAAGAGAGAAAGAGATCCGTCTCATCTTGCATTTATTATGCAAAGAATTCTCAAACTCCCTCTGCTCTCTTTTTAAACAGTTCCAAGATTGTTTGGAAGTCAAATAGAGATGTGTAAACAGCATGCATCTACCAGCTGGGCCAACTTGTTGGCAACAGTTTTACAGTTGATGCCAAATTTGATCTGAGTTTATTTTTATTTTATTTAATATTTCTCTTTCACCCTCTTTAAAACTGTCCGCTCTGAAAGGTCCACTTTTATTCCTCTCGATCTCACATTTCTTTTGGATTTTATCGTTTAATTTCATCACTTTTAAGTCACGATTTTAAAAGTAAGGCAGCTTAAAACACAAGCAAATACCAAAAGAATACTTACAATGTTTAGATGAAAACAACACATCCACTGAGGGTTATTCACCTGGAGCGCTGATGAATGTTTCTTTTAATGTGCTGCTCAATATTAATATTAGTGCACTCCTTTTTTCTTTATCAATTTAAAAATCACAAACAGTAAAAGGGATTGTGCATCAGTGCTGCTTTATAGAAGCTAACTTATTTTTAGCTTCACTCTTGATTGACTGCGTGATATTTGCATACAGATTTTGGTATTTGTTGAATTATTCCACTCCTGTGTTCTGCTGTTTTTTGTTTGTTTGTCGTTTTTTTAAATGCTGCTCCTTTTTTATTGAAAGATTACATGTTCAGTTCCCGAATGAGGTAGCAGTCCATGTTTCCTACTGATAACTTGTTTTGTGTAAGTCTTGTTTACGCATCAACACTGCACAAGGGAAAGGTGCACCACCTCTTCTCTGTCAGCTAAACCTTCCTCAAGCTCTTGTATGGGAGGTTTGTTTGTCTTTTGTGGTTAGCTTCAGTTTTAGATCTTTTGTCAGCTGCCTTAAAGCAGCCTGCAGTTGTTAATTGCTACCACAAAATGTAAGGAATTATAGAATGACAAAGCACTGGAAATGTCATCAGCTGTCAGTTTGTAATGATTATTGTTGACCTGTCTTATAAGTCCTGTTGAGTCAGGACTATTTTTATAACTTTATGAAAGAACAGTGCATTTATATTTACAATTATTTGTTTAGACTTTTGTTTCAAACTTTTGTACGGATCTGTTTTTTTTCAGTGTCCATACGCATACCTTTAACTTTAATCTTGGCTCAAGAGTCTACAAGATGGTGTAACAGTTTTATTCAACTCTAGAACTCCAAAAAAAAAAAAAAGCAATCAGATGGCTTTGCTCTGAAAGCTTGAATGAAAGGAGGCAAATATGAGCCAGGTACAAGGACGGCTACAGTTAATTTCTTGTTTTAACATCTGCCAGCTCTGCAAACATTCAAAGGAGAAAGCTGCCAGTTAAACAGGAAAACTAAATGATCCATAACACTGGCACTGACTATTATTCTGCCATGAGTTCCTTTCTCCTCCAGCTGTATGCTGTCAATTTGCCATATTTTTACTGACACCGACTTAAATTATGCTTTTGAGGACTGGTGTTAATTAGCTGGTGAAACAATGCTAGATTGTCTCCCGGTTCCAGCAGGAATAGTTTGACTGTTGCAAAAATTGCACATTAAATGCAAAGTTCTTAAAACAAGTCTCGGGTGATTTGGTTGATTTGCCACATTCACATTTAATATGGAAGAGTAATAGACTGAAAAATATAATAGACAAAATGCAATTAAACTGCTGCTGGTTAGCACAGCACCTACAGATTAACTGCAGCTTCCGAGACAATCTGATTGCAGCAATATGATTTGGTTTTTATAGCAATCGAGCTCAACCCCTGTAATAAGATAAATATGTTTTTGTGTTCCATTTTATACAGGCACAGTATTTCAGCTGCGTGGCGACAGTGCTGTACATTCGTAAGGAGAATTGTCTGTACCAAGCTTGTCCATCTGCAGACTGCAACAAGAAGGTCATCGACCAGCAGAACGGGCTGTACCGCTGCGAAAAGTGTAACAAAGAGTTCCCCAACTTTAAATACAGGCTCTTACTTTCTGTAAGTGTGCACAATGCACATCAATAGTGGTTGTTATACATACTGTGATGAGAATTATTGTAACCTACATGAATATGCATGACCACACATACACATATAAATAATCTCTCGCCCACTCATCATCTCTGGCCTGTTCCTCTCTCAGGCCAACTTAGCTGACTTCGGGGATAACCAGTGGGTGACGTGCTTCCAGGAGACAGCTGAGGCCCTTTTGGGTCACAGTGCAGAAACTCTCGGACATCTCAGAGACACAGTAAGACACATAGGCGGACAAGAAAATTGCCTTTGCAATTTTGCCAGAAGGTTTAACTGTAAAAGACTACTTCCTGTGCTTCCTGATGTTGTATTTCCCTTGTTTTTTGTTTCTAAGGATGAAGCTGCCTTCGATGAAGTCTTCCAGAAAGCCAACTTCACAACTCACATCTTTAAAAACAGAGTCAAGCTAGAGACCTACAACGTAAGTGGCTAAAAACTGCTGTGCAATATAAAGTGGTACAGTGCAATACAATTTAGCAGCAAAGCAGAATATACTGGTACACACTAGTGCTCATCATTGTCCTACAAGCATTCTTTCAGTGATCCTGGAGGAATATTCAACGCTGATTGGCTAGTGTCACAAACAGCTGTATTATCGCTATATTCAACAAATACACCAGAAAGCATCTTATTTCCCCAATACAGCAATAATAGGCTTTCAAAATGCACAAAAGGTTTGCACACAAGTCACATTGTTGTAGAAGTCAGTAAATGGTTTATCCCCTGGGTCAGTTTCACAATAAAAAGCAGCTACAATACACAGATGTGTTTGTGTGAGCTGTTTCTTTTATATGACAGCGACCAATTACAATTATGTAATTGTTTTGGGAAATTACAACATTTTCTGCTTATCAACTCCACAGCCACACATGATAATAATAAAAATAATAATGGATACTAATCAGGAAGCCTTTGGTTTGAATCCAAACCCCTCCAGTCCGCATGTCGAAGTGTCTTTGGTGCTTCGATACTTGTATAAAGCCTAATTATTAAAAAATTATATAAGGAAAAGCTTGTAGTTTTAGCAATGGAAGGTATTTACTGATCAGCAGGATCCTTAAGGATGAAATTAAAAGAGGCAATATGAAGTGTTAGTGCTGACATAAACCACAATTTAACCAGCTGTGTTAACAGAGGCTTCATTTACCCAAGCATAATTGGCACTTTTCTTTATGAAGTCACGTAGAAATGAACAAATTTTCAAATTCTCATTAATGTAAAGACATATAACAGAAAAAATATTTCTTCTTAGATTAAGGGAACATGCATTATTTTTGTCAATAATAACCTATTGCAGTGCATTAATGAATGATCTGCATGCCATTCATGAGTTTGTTAAAGCACTCATCATCAGATATTGTCTTCCAGTCGGTTGCACTGCAGACCCAAGCATGTAAGGCTACATATGCAGTTGTGGTGTGAATGAGACACGGCGGGTCCAGGGATCATAGGTTTGAGCCATCCATCCATCCATTCGCTTCCGCTTATCCTTTTCAGGGTCGCGGGGGGCGCTGGAGCCTATCCCAGCTGTCATAGGGCGAAAGGCGGGGTACACCCTGGACAGGTCGCCAGTCTGTCTGTTTGAGCCATTTTATTCAATATTTGTCACACCACAACACCCGCCAACCCCTGAGTCCCCGTGTTTTTAACTAGGCGGGCGTGATTAAGGATGCCGTGCAGGTGCGTCCGCCCTCCCTGCACGGCACTGCAGACCACGCCCCACCACAGCAGTATAATCACGACATGCTGTCAGTCACATAACATGAATCCGAACTCATTTCAATTAGTATAAGAGTGACAGGGGAGTTGTTTTATAGCCAGTGCACTTTGGATAACAGAAAACAAATACAGCTGTGAATTCATTTCTCTTAATTAGTCGCTAATTAGCATTTAGCTATTGTCTTTCTAAGCCTAATTAGCGTAATTATTCAGAGTCTAATTTGCTGCTGGGGGCACATACCGAGAGTCTGAGTGGAATGATTGAGATGTAGGATGAGCTCTGAATGGTCTGTGTCCTGACCTCGAGAAAATCTACAAGGAAAACTATGCAGAGTTCATAAACCATAAAGTGAGGAAAGTCTAACTTCACCAACAATAATGTTTATTTCGGTAAAGTGTGATCTTTATGTAGAAAGCGGAGGAAACTGTTTACGCTAAATGTCAGCATATCACGTCTACTTGCCAGCCTGAAGTTAGAGGAGCAAATAGAGGAGGCTGCAGTTTCCATTATATTGAACAATGCAGACGCTTTGGTCAGAACAAATAGCATTTTGATGATTTTGCTTTTCTTGCAGCCTTACCACCGGTGGGGCTTAAAATGCCGTCCTCAGGGCTGCATTACAGAAGGAGTCATAGTTTTTCAAAACAAACACTACTTCACCTTGGGAGTATGAACATTCTGTGTAAATTATCCACTGAGAACCATCAATGTCCAAAGGAAATTTCAAGGTAATCTGGGCTCAAATTGTGAGACAGAGAAAAGGGGAGTCATCGCAGTTCAGAGGGCCCTGGCTGGCAGCAAATGGAAATGAAAAATTGAATATGTCAACAGTGTTTTAGACACAGTTTAAATGATCTACTGAACAACTAAGCAGCTTTGAGAACAGCTAACTGAGCAATCAGGTTTTTTTTCCACCCTGAACGCAAATGCAGGCACAGTAAGCGCTTGTCATTACAAGCACTATTTTGCCATGCATGTCTGTGTTTGAGGCAGAGACTGATACAGATTTATTCATGTAATTCAGTGCTCTGGTTATTCAGTTAATTCAACAATATTAAAAATAAATGAATTGCAGCTGGCACTTAATAAAAAGAAAATCATTGATCACCTGTTAATTATGCATCAAAGGTGATACTGTGGAGAGACATAGAGCATTTTCACAACATGTTTTTTCAAGACCACAAATGCATCCAAATCAAGTTTTGTTTTTTTTTTACTTTTTAGGTAAATACTTATTTTTCTATTGCAGGATGTGTCAGGAAGAGTTCAAGACAAATAGGAGCACTTTTTTTGATCGTTTCAGTTTTCAACAAAGTAGATATAATGAGCTCAGAATAGAAACGTGTTCTACATAAGGCTTATCACTGTATTCAGACATTTTTTCCGTCTGCATTTGGCACAGCCTGCGATTCAAAACACGAGCTGTTCACTTTGTCTTTCTACCGAAGCCTTCATTCTTACACACTTGTGTGACACAAGGCAAAAAGTCCTACCGCATTGTTTTCACAAAAATAGAACAACGCAATGAAATGTCAGAACCTAATAAGATTAATGAAGTTGTAAAGTGTGTGCTTTGTCACTTGTCATAACAGAGACACGCAGAGAGAGAACGACCTGGCTTAGGATCATATTTTAAGGTTTGTCTTATTTTTAGGAACAGAAGCGAGATGACAAACTACCAGGTTTTCGACTTAACAAGCACATATTTTTTTTGTTCAGTCATCAACTCTACCAGTGCACTATCTATCTATCAGTCACTCTTCCTATTTAGACCATTATCCTGTTTAGACAAGGTTATGATAAATTATTTTCTTTCTCTCACAAAGGTAATTCATATTATATAATCGCCTATTTTAGGAAAATAATATTTAAAAAAAGAGCCCGGCCAGTAAAAGCATATATATTGGCCAAGAAATGGGATCTAGAAGTAAAAAGGAGACCCTTAAAACCATCGCATGAGTCTTGGCAGTACTTAGTTTGACCACCAGGGGCAGTCCTGAAGAATGTAAGCATGTAAATAAATAGCTACACATAAGAGATCTTAGCTAAATCTGTTTATTTCGTGTGGAAGAAAAAAATGTTTCATATGTTTTAATATCAGATTCCTTAAGCATATAGGTCACCCTAACATTATCAACCTATGAAGGCCTATAATTTGTGTAGTTGTGTCTACTTTTTCTAGAGATTTGAGGAAATTGAAGGTGACGTTTCAAAGAACCTTGAGTCCATCGTGTTCTTCAATCAGTTCTTGAACAACGGGCAGTGTGGCATAGCCCGTTTTTCCTGATGGGGGAAATCACTGAGTTGTACCTGGTCTATAGCAGTGTTATGGACCCATGTGGGATGCTCAGAGCATTCGCCAGAGCAGCACACTCACCAAAAGCAAACACCAGCACTGACGTTATTTCCCAAAGTAAATAGCACACAAGGGATTTAAAGGAAAACAGGACTCATCAGACCAGATGACCTCCTTTCAGTTTGTTTAAGGCTTCTTTTGTTGCGTGACGATGGGTAAGGTTAGTTTTAGGGCTGTGGCAGCCATCACGATGTGGCCAAAGTGCTCTGATTTTCAAATCCAGCAAAATGGCTCTTTAATCCCAGGACCGTAATGTATATGGTTTTGTAAGTAAACAAATATTATTCACACATAAGCATTCCAATTACTAACTCGTGTATATGTACGCTTTTTTGTGATTAATGAGAATTACAGAGAAGCCACAATAATTGTTTAAATATGGTGATGACGTTGCTGAAGAGCATCAGTCTCTTTTAGCCCTGCTTTAAAGGTGACAGCTGTGTGAAGAATGATAATTGAGAGTTTAAGAATGAAGGTCAGACTCCCTCTGTCCCCCTTCTCACCTGGCTAATCTCTACATGAGGAAGACGTGATTGACATTTTGTTTTGTTTTTTTGAAAATTGCAGAAATTGCTTAAGGCAACTTGACTACCCCTCTGTTGGGGGGTGTAGTCTCTGAAAGCTTTGGAGTTTTTCACATTTGGCATTTAATAAATATTATATTAAGAATAGATTACTTTGCTCAAGTGAGCTCTGAAAGCAGAAAGTACAAGAAGCAAAGCAGTAACTGATAAAATTGGCCTGCTTTTATACTTTACGACAGGTATAAAAGTGGGAGACTCTTATACAGATGTTGTGATGATAAATGTGCATTTATCATCACAACATCTGGTCTATATTCACAACCAGGTAAACAAATTTACAAATCCTTCACACGATGAAAAAGTCCAACGCAGCTGGCAACAGACGTAAATAAAAATGTAAATGCTGCATTTAAATAAAGTTCTGTCTTAACTGTCTGCCGAGTTTCATTAAGGTGGTGCCTTACAAAGGCAGGAGCATGTGCAGTGAATCAGAAACTAGTGCTCCAGAACTGAGTGCAGTAAAGGCTCATCTTCCTCTCCTACACACACACAATTCACAACATGGTGAATTGGATTTACGGAGCACTAAAGAGCGCTGTTTACACATAATCTTTTAATTTGCATTTGTTTAAAAGACAATCCAAAGAAATGTGTATCTGATTTCTGATTTCGAACCAGTACTCAGATGTGATAATTAAGTTCAAGTCTTAGTCTTTGAATCTGTTCCAGGCTGGCTGATTATTCATCTTAAATATGTGTTGCTGTATTAGTGCACATATATCTGTGCTTGTGTCAGAGTCCAAGTGCATCAGTCTGAAGTGAATACATTGATTGTGTCTCATTTAATCTATTAGTGTCATAGGGGATCTGGTTTTCTTTCCCTGTTTTAACAGACAGGCCATTCAGAGTACACTCGTAACACAGCATTCACACCACATTACACTCAGACCTTTTTGCTGTCCTTGAGTGTGGAAAAAGATTTCTGAAAATTCTGAAAGAGAGAGAGAGAGATTGTTTCCAAGGAGCCAGACTTTCTAGAAACTTGTGTTCCTGGGCAATAGTTTTCCAGTGTTTTCTCGCAAATAGGCCAAAATAGTCCTTTTGACCCAAAAGTCTTACAGTAGAATTTAACAGAAGGTGGTTGGTGACCTTGTCAGAGGCTTAATTCACTTTCAGACAAGTTTTAAGAATCCTTTATCAAGGTTGCCTTGCATATACATTTTACTGGATATATGGGAAAAATGGTAGTAGGATTTATCCTATTCATTTCAGTTCCATAAAACCTATTGTGTGGATGTGTTAAGATATTTCAGTCTTGACCTAAGTGCTGGATTGTTAATGAATAATATTTCTCTGCAGGTCGTTTTGGGTTGTTTTTTTTGCTCAGTACAGTACAGCATCTTAATTATTCTCTTTGAAGATGTGGCATCAGTAAGTGTAAATGTTTATTGGCTAGTTGTGCGCTGTACTTTTGCATGTGTGTGTGTTCTGTTTTTTTTCTTTTTGTCTACACATCCAGAAGTGCTGGTATTTATTCCTTCAGTGCACCGCCTGAAATTGAGTTAGAGAACAAGGGTGAATGTTTTGCTACGAAGTAATTGTTTTCTCCAGATGCGATTGCAGTATTAGTCTGCGCATATTAAATTACCAAGCTTTCTTTCTCTCAGTACCCTACCATTTGGAAAACCATTATTTTTAAATAAGTTGTCACCTTTTGTCAAGTGGAACCTCCGATTCAAACCCCCCTCCCCCCACGTATTGTTTAATTTGCCTGAGGTAGATGCAAATTGAAAATACGAGTAGAAGTGTGGAATCAACGTGTGAACAAATGTTCAATCCTTGATGCTGGTGTGGTCCTTGATCCTAAGTGAATTGCTAATTCTCTCTGGATTGAACCCTTTAATAATTATCACTGATTATGACAGAAAAGAGCTTTTGGCTTTCACTGGAAATCATGCCATTGTTTGATGGTACAGAATCTGACTTACTGATGGTGACTCTTACTGCAAACAGTTGAGACAGCTTACATCTGCGTACACAATTATCGATCTCAATTGTTGTTGTGTTTGTGAAAGTACAAGCACGCATTCACACCGATGGGTAATTTAGAATCTCCAGTTAACCTAACCAGCATGTCTTTGATCTGTGGGAGGAGGAAACCCACGCAGGCACACCGAGAACATGCAAACTTCAAACAGAAGCTGGCCTGTGGATCCAGGAAGCCTCAAGCTACGAGGCACTAAACACTGTAGCTCTGTATAATATGGCAGATTAGAATATGTTTTTATTGATATCATTTTTATTAATATAAAGGGAACAGGTGGAACATCCTTCTTTTTGCTTACTTTTGTAAATGACATGGAAAGTGTCACCTTTCCTGCTCTGCTTCCCGCCTTGGGGCCACATAGGGTCACTTTATAATCACACAATACATTGGGTTTGAGTAATCACACGAGTTTATGCTAAATATTGCTGAAGTCTGTGATCGTGCAGTAGCCAGTGTTTGTGTTCTTGTTTATTTTTTATGTTTTTAGCCTTGCGACAGTCAGGACTCAGTCTGACTTGCTGAATTTTCATCGTTTGAGGTGAAATGCTTAAATTCATCATCAGAGGTGTCTGGTTCCCAAAGAGAGTGCTTTGATGACAAGATTCGCTTACATTATGGGGGGGAAAGCCGCTCTCGTTTTCTTACATTTGTGAGATTTTCCAACGTATCAAAACAGAAGAAGCAGGCAATGCAAATTAAAATCAACATATTAAATACCATGTAAATTATGCAGCTCAGCTCGAGATGACTAACGACATCATGGCTCACACTTGCCAAAGGATCTGAAATTAGACCATACAATAAAATCTACTGGCCTTGCGGCTTTTTGCATAGATTTTGAGAAGAAGGTTGTTGGTACAAGTCTGAGCTGACAGCAAAGCTCTGTCAGTAGCAGGAAGTTTCAGTCCTAAAGCAGACTTTCCACCGCTTGGGTCTTAATTGGTTCAGTAGATTAATGATTATGTGCAGTCTTGAATCGTGCTGATCACAGAGGTTAAAGTTGTTGTTTCCTTACCCGATGCTGTGCACTGAACTCAAATTCTCTGTTTCCTCCACAGGATGAGAGTCGAGTGAAGGTAACTGTAATGGAAGTCCAGCCGGTCGACCACAGAGAATACAGCCGGAGACTCCTGCAAAACATCTACAAATTGGCTAGATGAACTCAGTCCCACCCATTCAAATGTCTGTCTGGTCATTAAACGCATCTTTCGCCATTCTGCAACCAGTGTCCAACTTTTTCCCACCTGCGAGATAACAGCATATCAGGCTGAGACAGGAAAGGGGCGGCCAGTGATTCATCTAAATGGCAGCCAAACAAAAGACTGATATTTAGCAGATGACTTCCTTCACAGAGCGGAGGGGAAAAAGGCAAAAAGATCTGATGGAAGTGACTTCCAGCTTTATTTTAATGGCAATTTAACTTTGTGTTTTCAGTTTAAAGAATTTTTACCGTGTCCTGCTTACATTTTCACGTCTTATGCATCATGTAAATACTATGATTGTAGTGTTTTCTTTTTTCTTCATCAACGTGACTTATTTCTTCGGTTTTGTACTGGTGATGCTCAGTGTTAGTTGAGTAAGACGTAGATGAGTCACATTTATTTAATCTTTGTTTTTTGTTTTTTTTTTCTTCAAACAGAGTCTTGGAAAAAATGCGTGGGGGGTGCACGTGTTTAAGCTGCGTTCACAGCGTGCGCCTTGTTCTTAAAAGATACCCTGGGTGTGTGCGTGTGCGCGCATTTGTGTTTGGTTTCCTTTTGTGCTTCCAAGAAATGTCAGACAAGAAAAAAACAGGCATTAAAAGGACATTAAAATAGAAAGTGTCTTTGTCTTTATCTGTGTTGTCTTAACAGGTAGGCTTACAAAACGAAAAATTGCATTTGCTGGGAGATCAGAAAATATTATATTTTTTAGAGATATTAAACACCTGGATTTCTTTCTGAAATATAAAGTTTTTCACCTCACCGGATAAGGTGACCTGAGGCAGCTGGCGTGCTTTGTAAATAATCAAATTGAAAGCTAAAAGTTTTAGGAAGGAGACGTAAAA